TATTATATATATGTAATGATTATATATATGCATATATATATAATAAATATATATGCATATAGGCAAATTAACGCAGGCAACACTCTATACCAAGGCCACCAAAACATGGCCTCAGCTGCTTGTGTCTTGCCGCCTGTCGCCCTGCTCCAGTTACAGGGTATTTATCAAATGAAAAGAAAACACTCAACGAATTGTGTTTTCTATAAAGTGCGAGCCAATTACAAAATATAATTAGGCCAACAAAGAAAAACTGCGGCAGCAGAAGTTTCTTCAAATGAAGCAATTCTCAGAACTCAGCTTAAAGCTCGGACCAAGCATTAGGCCAAAGTTTGAGAGTATTGTTTGCAAATGAATCTTAAGTTTTGCACAACAAGTGTGTGTGCGTGTGTGTGTGTGTGTGTGTGCGTGTTGATGGTTCATTTTACCACACAAATATTTGTTGTTGTGTCTGTGAAAATATTTGCATTTAATTTCATAAAAGTGTCGAGAGCAACTCGAACGCAGGCTTTTAGCATAGTTTGCCATCAACATTGTTGCAATGCCAATGAACAAAACATTGGTTAGCAATACATTTTTAGCAAATCTTCGTTGAAGGAGTTGAAGGAGTTGTCCTTTGAGCTGCTAATGTGCGCAGGGCAAGCACACACATGGCACAGGCAGGCGGGGCTGGGCATGGTCTGAGTCAACAACAACCATAAACAAATAGCGACTACAATGGCGGACTACTAAATAACAGCAACAACAACAATAACAGAAGAAGAAGAAAAAGAAGAGGACGAGGCAGAGCCAGAGCAAGAGCAGGAAGGGGCAGGCAAAGTCTTTGCAACCCCCAACAAAAAAAAAATCAAGTGACAGAAAAAAAGTAAATTTCCCCTCGACTCAATGCTTAACAAGGCACACATGAGCACGTGGTAAGGGAGGGCGGCTGGGTGTGGCTGGCTGGTTTAGAGGTGTGCGCTGAAGATAACGAATCTCTGCAGACTGAAAAGGCACAAAAAGTTGCGATTGATGTGCCGAATTGTGGCAGCCAGGCATGGATCAAAGCCATCGGCTTAGCAGCTAAACAGAGCTAAAATATTTGCCAGCTCTGTGAGGCATGCTGCCATATACCCTATAGACAGTTGAGGCGTCTGTTATACCCCGTACATTGTGAAGAGCATATATTGACTTGCAAATACTCTCACTTACATAGCTACATCTAAACAGATTGCCCTTGAGATGCAAAGCATATGCTAGGAGTCTTCATGCTGTTATACCCTTTAGCAAGTAGAGCAGAGGGTATATTAGAGCACATGTGCTCATATACAAATATTGTATATGAACCTTAAGCGTATACAACTTGTCTATAATGCAGAAGAGAGTGCCAGTGGTATACCCTATACACCAAGCGCAGAGGGTATATTGTAGTACATACATACATACACATGTATGCTAAGACATACATACACATTCCCCACTTAGCATCTTCTTAACGCAAAAAGGACAAATTGTTTATCTTGTTATACCCTGTATATGCAGTTCATAGGGTATGCTGCACTTTGTATATTCTCATATACTTTCTATACATTCGTGTGCAGAATGTTAGATTAATTTCTTACAAATTAAAGAGTAATGCGTTTCATTGTTATACCCTGCATAAGCAGACTATGGGGTATATTGGCTCATATGTATATAGCTACTATATGCAAGCTTTTCATACTCAATTTCTTTAGTAGAGAGTTTGTGCTAGAAGTATTTGATATGCTATACCCTGTATAGACAGTCACAGTGGGGTATATTGAAGTGAACAAACGCATGTAATATGTATTCTAATATGATTCTATATAGATATAGAGGTATGTCTAGTTTTATATATATAATTTAACTGCCCTCTCTCTCTCTCTCTCTCTCTCTCTCACTCACTCTCTCTCTCTCTCTCTCTCACTTTCCTATATTCACTGCATAGTAAAAGTAACTGGATAGAGTCTGTCTCTTCAGTCCCATGCACTGGCTGCTGATTGCGGTTTAAGGATGAGCCGAATCCTGCTGGAGCCACAGACACTGCATTTCCTGCCACTTCCGGTTTTAGGAATCAGAAATAATTTCGCTGCAGCTGGCAGCGCTGTGGAAAGTGGCTCAAGCGCAAAAAGATGAACTGCTTGTTAAAGAGCGCTGGCTGCGCGTATGGCGAGAGGCGGGTAGGTGGGGCTCTGGTGCGGGGGTAAATGATGTGCAAAATATACAATTTGAAATGGAATACGTGTGCTGTGCGTCTGCTGCTGCTGCTTCGTTTCCATCTATCAGGACATCTGCTTTGTGCTGGGTTCAAGGACAAGACACAAGGAGCAGGCGCTGTCCGTTTGTCATTTTTTTGTTGTCATTTTTTTTCTTTTGTCTATTTTTCTATTTTCTGTTTTCTGCTTTTGTTTTCCTCGTTGTTTTTCGCTTCGCTATGTTTTCGCATAAAGAGATTAGCACTCAATTTTAAATTGAAGCTTATTAGGCAGCACGCCCACTGCCAGCCGCCCCCATGGCCCACACAGCCCCTTCTGTTTGTTGATTGAATTGCGCACTTGGCCCAAATTCAACGTTTCTAAGGATTTAATCTGGCTTTTATTGTGCCTTTGGCTGCCCTTTCTGCCAGCCACGCCCACATCGCTACAGCTTACTAGATTGCTCGGCCTCGCCTCGACCCCTGCCGCTATGGAGCAACAGTTAGCTGCTAGCTTCACATCCAAATTCATGTCTATTCCAGGCAAATTGCACGCGAAGCTTTCCCGCGGGGTTTGTCGCGTGTAGCGAGCGAAGAGTAACAAGTGTTTGTTGCTGTCTCCCTCTCTCACACCCATATTCGTGTGTGTGAAGTAATTCTCTTGCAAATGAAATGAAAATTACTTACACTTGGCAAGGGAATTTCATGGCAGCGAGCTTGAGAAGGGGCTATAACGAAGAGAGAGGGAGTGAGAAAGAGTGGAATATGACAATGATGTGCACATAAACAAGAAAGCAGCAATTATTACTGGTATGTTGAATATTAAATAGGGCAGAAGTACATATGCATGTCTTTAATAAGATAAAACATGCTATGCTTTTATTATATATCAAGTGTATTTCTATTTATTTCTTATTTATATATCAAAATATATCATTTTTCATTTATAGACATTAATTGTTTTTATTTTCTTTTCGTCGTTGCCGCCAATGCCCTAGCAAATCGCATCGAACATGTTGCAACTACTATAAATTTCAAATCTTCTACTATGCGCACATACCGTGTATAACAGTTTTTCCGTGAACAGCAAAAACATAGAATTATAAGTTAACATTCAACACAATCGTATACGTATGCGAGCAGATGTATAAGTACACTTATATTAGCAGATGTTCGAAGATAAATGTTGCTTGCTGGGTCTAAGTACCTATATGAATCGCATGCTCAAACCACCACCATGGCATACACTTTTAAATGTAACTTATATTCAATATGCATCACACAATAAACGCAAACAGTCGCATAATCTGTATAAGCTAACCGGTATGGTCTATCGTATACTTAAACCACCACTTGTATTGTATGCGCTTGTATAGGAAGCAGCAATTGAGCAACTGTGGTGTATACGAGTTACAGCATACGCAAATAGGCACAGCCAGTATAAGTTAAGCAGCATTGTATACGAACAACGTATAAGATATGCAGCACTTGCTTGCTCGACACATTTCGAAGCTCGAATGTCTGTCACTTCTCTTCACGCGCTCTCGTATAAGAACAATTTTGTATAAGTATACCAATAAGAGAGAGCAAGCGAGCGCAAGCCGGCTGCAAACAAACAATGCGAGTCACCTGCAATACCAGAGCACGGAGCCAAACAACATACAATGAGTCCAATTGTTTGTGTTATCACATGTGCGCTCTCTCTCTCTTTCTCTCTCGAGCTGTACAAGTGACCGAAGACGAAGGCGGCGTCGCTCGTTTATGTTTGCCTTCGTCGGCTGCAGCTTTGTCTGATGATGGCGACGGCTGCTGCTGCTGCTGCTACTGGCTTCGTCAGTTAGAAGTTTTAGTTCGGTTTTAGCTCTCATTCTGTGTGGACGCCTCGATTAAAGTAAACGCGGGCCGCCGTCATCAAGTGCGTCGCACGCACACACACATACTCTGACGCAGTCGGGCTCTGGCAACACACACTCGCCCATACATACGCACACACATACATGTACAAATGGTGGTCCATTCGGCAGCAGCAGCAGCAGCAGCCGCCGCGGTAACAGCGCCAAAATTATCGAGTCTGCGCCAAAAGTGATTTCAATTGTTAATCTTAAAGCTGAAGCTGGAAATAAAGCGAATGTATCAGCGAATGTACCCAAACACCAAGTGCAAGAAGTGACCAAAATTTTAGGGCACACGTTTCTGCTCCTCCTTAGCTCCGCAGCTCCTCTCGGCTTGATTCGTTTGTCCTCGTCAACAATTTCGTTGTTGTGTTTTGTCGCGCGGCTTTCGTTGGTTGCGTGTCGCGTGTACCGCCGTCTCTCTCCGCTCTGCTAGCACCTCGCGCCTCTGTCGCCCTCTGACTCCGTCACGTAACGGAAGGTCCCGCTGCCTGCAAACATGGCCACACTCGATCAGGGCTTAGCATAAGCCGTAGTTGTTGTCCAGCAAAAAATTCTATAGGGTATTACTTTGATCGGATTGCAATTACAACAACAACAACATCATCTGTAGCTAAAGCAAATTGCAACAAATGCGGCGCTGCAGCAGCAGCGATAACTGTAACTGCAACTGCTGCTTGTTATAGCAGTCAGCTTCTGGCGCGTTACGAATAAAGCGAGCAGCAATTGCTACAAAAACAACAAAGATAACTGTAATAACTACAGCTAAGATCAAGAGGAAGCAGCAAAATGGCATTGAAAACACACGAAGAAGAAGCAAAAGCAGAAGCAACTCAAATGCAACAACAATTACAAGACACAAGAAAACGCAGACGAAGCAAATGCAGCAGCAGCAGCAACAATTGCTGTTGCCGGCAACAACGGAAGCAGCAACAGCAACATTCACATTGGATTAAACAGCTTCGACTGCTTTGCATGGGTAAGTCTTTCAATTTGACGTATTACACAGTAGGCGTGGCAGCCACTGCTGCAGCTGTTGCTGCACTTCTTAATACCCTAACCTAAGCCTGACCCAAAGCCAATATCCAGCTCATTAGGCCAAAGCACAAGTCATTTCGTTTGACTTTTGCGGCTGGCAAACGAGTTGCAGCAGGAGATTTCAGTTATGCACTGGAATAAATTCTGGGTAGACTTTTAAAGGGGACTGAAAATATATGTTAAAATATGGATGTGGAAGAAATTATATATAAATATAAGAAGATATATAAGAGCTTATGAAAGTCTTAATAAAAAATGAAAATATATATAAATATATAAACAAATAAATATAAAAATATAAAATTATTTTTATATGAGTATGTAAAGAATTGTAGTAAATAATTAAATAATATAAAAAATATATGAAAATATACAAAACAAGTAAGAAAGCTCTAGTCGGGGTGCCCGACTAGGAGATACCCTGATCCCAGTCCTTTGAGTTTTGTAATATTTTCCGTAGTTTGTATCGAGTATTAAAAAAAAAGAGAAAACAAATAAAAATCGACATTGCGAGACCAGGATTCGAACCCGGATTATTTGCGCAACGTGCACAAACTCTACCAACACCGCCACTTCATAACTAAAAAAAAAAAAAATAAAACAGTAAAAAACATTTCATCTCCTCCGGTCTCGAACCCGGACCAAGCTGCATACGAGCGGGGCCTCTACCAACGCAGCCACTGTCCTTCTTGCACGGGCTGTTGCAAATTTGAACATAAGTAGCAGCTAATAATTCAGCACAATTCAATCGCAATTTCAATTCTTGGAATAGAAAAGAATACACGCATTTGAATGTATGTGTGCACACGCATAGGAAAAATGCGTGCGCGTGGCGCTGCTGACATGTGCTTTTGGAAATTGGCCAAACGTTTTGTTTAATAACTTCTGTTTTACTTAATGGATTTTAATGAAATTTTCAGCATATGATCTACATATCCTATTGGCTTGGTTGAGATGCAAACGCCTTCACATAATGGCCCTATTTCCAACTAAACTTAAATTCTAAGAATTTGGGGGAATTTGGAGCCGGTATCCAAAATCCAACAAAAATCAAAATTGCATAAAATATATATAAGACTAAATACAAAATTTGAGTTCGAGATATAATTTATTTACTGCATTTCAATAATGTTTTTATTCGATAACAATTAAATGCGAATAGTTATCGAATATTTGAAACAAACTTGACCTGCGCGTGCTATACACGGACCTACAAAAAAAATTTCAAGTCTCTAGCTCTTATAGATGCTGAGATCCACGCGTTCACACATACGGACAGACGGACAGACGGACAGACGGACAGACGGACGGACAGACAGACGGACAGGGCTCAATCGACTCGGCTTGTCGTCCTGATCAAGAATATATATACTTTATGGGGTCTGCCACGCCTCCTTCTGCCTGTTACATACATTTGCACAAAACCATTATACCCTGATTTCCCATTTTTAATGGGATCAGGGTATAAAAAGTAAATATATAAAAAATATGATAATATTTAAAAAAAAATAAAAATATATAAACAATGACAAAAATAAAATATATATAGTAAAATCGAAGATTACAGCACAGTAGGGCACACTGAGTATTAGGGCTAAAACATCTACTCTAATGAATGCGTACATTGTTTGTTGTCTGGGTCAAATGTTCTTAGATGTTCGAGCTATAAAAGAAAAAGTTGCGCTGATTTTTTTAATTATTAAAACAGAAAAAATCAAATTATAATGATCCAAACTTTTCCATCTAATGTGATTTCAATTTCTCTAAATATTTATAAAAGAATTTAGACTTATTTAAAACGTGTTTTTTTTCAAGTGTTTTTATTGGAGACATTGTATGCGTGTGTGTGTGTGTATTTTGGACTTTGCGGTTGCCCTGACTTCCTTTTAAAATGCGTTGCGGTCAGTGCCAAAAGCACTGATGAGTGCTGAAGGTGTCCTCGCATGTCTGGCTTAGGTTGGGGAACAGAAGTAGGAGCAGCTGCCTTGCCCAGCATCTAGAGACGCTGCCTTAAACCGCAAGACTCTTTTCGCTCATGTTACTCCATAATTTGTTTAACCCAAAGTGGAGAACAAGAAGATGGGGAATAAGTTTATAATCGTATATATCTGTAAAGAAGCCTAATCGAAGCGTTGCCTAATTAATAATTAATAATGCAAGCCGGATGACGCAAGCATTTCACTTCCGGTTGTGGGCAACGGGGCGGGTCCGTGGCCAAGGTAGCAGCACTGCAAATGCACTTCAAGCCGGCGCTTATCGCACTTCCGCTCATCGAATTCCCAAATTCCCTTCGAGCCTCGAATCGCATTGAAATTCAGCAACTCATCGTCTGCGTCGGAACTTGGCCTCTTCTGCTTATGGTCTCCCAGTTTTGAATGGCCCCAAAAAAAACACAATAACAATCAAATATATAATTCACAAAATATGTTCGAACGCCCACAGTTCTTGGCTTAACTAGCATTTTTTTTGTGGGCGTTTGTGCGGGGTTTTCTCTTTCAGTCTAAGTTGTTGTTTTTGTTGGTTTGTTGTTATTGTTTTTTGTTGACGAAATCACATAGGCAATCAACAGAGCCGGCGGCAGCGCTTTACAGGTTGCCAACACAATGGAATCATTTAATGTTATCTTCACTCAAAATTCAATGGCTGACACTTTTGTCAGTAAAACTTCTATGATCAAAGACCAATCTTATCTTTGTGAATAAATCTGACTTAGCATAGAACTCCTAATATATTTCCAACAGCTGTTAGCTTAACACGTGCTAAACGTATGTAACGCTTTCGTCGATCGTGAATCTGAAAATGCATGTATGTTAATAAAATGAAAATAGAATTTTGAATATACTGAATAAACTGAATTATTCCATCACAGAAATCTTACATCGCATAGAAATGTTAACATCATGTTAACAGCTTTCAAGTTAACAGCTGCAGCTCGCAGCTTGTAGCTTGTAGCTCTGTAAGCCATCGAGCTGTTCTTCATAAGTAACTGATCAATAGGCAACATTTCGTATATCTTGGTATATTTTATATAGAATATCAAGAACTTATCCCATCGTACTATTCACGTTGCTTCCATATGTGCGACTGTTGGAATCAATGTTTTCCTGCTGCTCCGCCTGCTTTTCTTTTTCTCTTTATCGCGGGGCAGCAGCTGCGTGACAGGGTAACGCCTACAAATATAAATAAGATGCGTCGATAAAGCTTTTATATGTATATATGGATAGATATGTACAGATATGTATGTGTATATATATATACATATCTGAAAAGTCAAGCATGAAGCTAATTCCTGAGTTTTGCTGCGGCCCAATTAGACCAACAAAAAAGAAACGAAAAGAAAGAGGGGAGAAGAGAAAAGGCCGCTCACCTGGCAACGGCGGCCCGAGGCTATGGGCGAATGCTACAAGGGGGCAGCGACCGCAAGAAGAAAAACATGCAGGAAAAACAGTTAGCAGGAGCCGACAGCCCGGAGCAGAAGGTGAAGATGAAGATGAAGTTGAATGTGGAGTCAAAGCATAGAAAACCAAAATAAAAGCATTTATTTGTCAGCACAAAATAATCAAGGATCATAATATGTCAACAAACAGGCAGGACATGCGGGCAAACGGAAAACAAGCACAAGGACACACACACACACACACACACACACACATATACACACGAAGAAGAAGCAGAAGAAATATGTGAGCGTCCTTTTTTCGTGGCTGAAGCGTTGAAATGTGTGCCACAAGAGTCAAAACGGCGAAAGTGTAGAGCAAACATGTCGTAATAGATAGCTGCAGAGCGAGAGCGGACAGCATCAGCTGTGGGCGTGGCAGCAGGTGGACCAGCAAGGCAGTAGCAGCGCCAAGAGCTGCGTTTGTCTCTGACAGCTTGGTTAATGTACTGAAGTGCATTGACAATAGAAGCCACTGCTTGACCACAGCTTGAACGAGCAGGAGATAGAGAGAGAGAGAGAGAGAGAGAGAGAGAGAGTGGCAGAGCGAGCGAGATGCATGTAGGAAACAATTCTGCGTTTTCTATTCATGCCACAGGTCAAAGGGCAAGTGCTAAGCACACACACACACACACACACAGCAATTGTAAGAGAGTGGATCAAAGATAAAAAAGGGCGCCAAGTGGAGCGAGTGTAGAGTCCTTGCGAAGCGCATATCTTCGGCGGATAATCTCAGCTACAGTAAAAACTGTGCGTACAAGAACTCGCTTTGAATAGATAGTGTAAAGATTTTATTTAAGAATTTCAATACTTGAAATTAGTTCAAAATTTAGCTGAAGTCATCATTGTGCTTAGTTTAGGAAAGTCTTGTACTTAGAGCTTAAGCTAAGCATAACTTGAGATGAGTTAGAATTTGACTAAGCTGTGAGAGTTTTCTAACTTGCCCTAAGTTTCGACAAGCTGCTAGCAGATGAAAGATGAAGATGAAGATGAAGATGAAGATGAAGATGAAACTGAAACCATGATAGCTCTATATACTAACTGAGTATTCTCTAAATACGCCTTTAAAGTGCCTTTAGCTGAAGTTACTGAATCACTCCAGTGCAACCAGAAAACATTATTGGATGAGACTGCGTTTGACTCAGCATCGATTAGAGCAGATTAGAAAGTAAAGTCTGATTCTTGTTAGCAAAGCAAAAGCTGCTGGTCTGCATGATTCAGACAACTCTTGCACGGCTTTGTTCACTTTATGGAGCTAGCACTGTAGCTGTATGTTTATCTGCAGCAAGAATCGCGTTAGCCATTGAACAGTTGGCTTCTCATGGTCTGCATTTGACTTTGTTTGTTCTCTTGCTGCAAAGTTAATTGCGCTCCACTCTCCAGCTGTCAATTGCCAAGTTGGAAGGCGAAGCTCGTTTGGCAGCAGCTGCTGCTGCTGGTCGATCCGTGTGGGCAGTAGTCATACTTTATGCCATATAGTACATAGACTATATATACCATATTAT